CTCGTCGTCTTCGTCGTCAAAGTACTCCTTGTACTTTGAAGCACCCAGCAGATAACGGCGACCGAGGGCGGGGATGACCAGGCGGAGCAGAGTGACCAGGAATGAGATGAGCTGACAGGCAAAGGTGACTGCCATCAGGAGCCAAAGGGCGAGCACGAGTCGCTCGAGGAAGTAGTTGCTGGGCTGGAGACAGACCGAGGTGACAATGTTCGGCGAGCCGCTGGCACCGACAATCTGACGGCGACACTTGAACTTGACAGGGAAGAACTGTTGAAGATGAAGATGAAGATGAATATATCATATCAGTAAACTTTTTTTATACAACAAAAGTATCTCCTCTTCAACTCACCACATCTCCCGGATAGTGGTACGGAAAGTGCAGACTTCCTCCTGACGTTTCAGGCGACCAGAACGCCAAAGTCCAGTAGTAGGCCACTGCCCGAGCTCCGTAGAGGGGAAAGACGGCAAAGTTCTCCAGCCCGGGCTGCTCGCTCAGAAAGTCGCTCCAGAAGGTGATCACAAAGGGAATGGTGGCCAGCTGCGCAAGTTTCACTAGTAAGACCTTCCAGGAGAAGTGGCCCTTTCCGTTGGCAACCTTCAGCAGCGTTCTGATGCAGGGCTCCAGCTCTGGTTCAGCTTCAGCTTGAGCACCACTTTCACCATTCTTTGATTGCATCTTCTGCTGAAGATCTTGCATTTCCACACTTTGCTGTTCTTCTTTTTCAGCATCAACTCCACTTTTTGATCTTTTGCGGAAAGCAGCAGCTCGGAAACTCTTTTGAAGCGCAGTCCAGCTCGAAAAGTTCACTGATGAAGAAGTTTGTCGTTCGGAGTAGCCAGGCGGAAAGATAAGTTTGCTTTTCAATGAAGTCCAGTACCCGAAAGGTTTTTCATCAAAAAGTGCCATCAGGCTACCGTTGAGCAGCAAAAACCAGAGGTAGAGAGGCAAAGCGAAGATTACGATCTAAAAGGCCAAAAATTAAAGTAACTTTTAACACATTTTAAACTCTTCAAAAAACAGACAAACCTGAGACACAAACATCAGGTCGATCTCGTCGGCGCCAAAGATTCGGTGCTTCCGTTCACCACTTCCCACCACTGAGCCTCCAAAACCTCGGTCAAAGGGATTGCCCAGAGGATGACTCGCTTGGTGACCGGCCGGCTGGAGTTCATTTGCCGACACCCAGCGAAAGCCATTCCACCGTGTCACCTGTGGAGTTCGGTAGCCGTTGACCGCCTTCTTCTTCTCCGGAATCAGCAGGTTGCTCCACTGACCGGTGAACCACGAGTCGTCGAGTTCATCGAGAAAAGTGCCCTCCCCTAGCGTGCAGAGCTCCTCATCGAGCAGCGTGCGACCATGGCTGATGCAGATCGGTTCGTTGGAGGTGATGGTTGTCACATCTTTGGCGNAGGGATTGCCCAGAGGATGACTCGCTTGGTGACCGGCCGGCTGGAGTTCATTTGCCGACACCCAGCGAAAGCCATTCCACCGTGTCACCTGTGGAGTTCGGTAGCCGTTGACCGCCTTCTTCTTCTCCGGAATCAGCAGGTTGCTCCACTGACCGGTGAACCACGAGTCGTCGAGTTCATCGAGAAAAGTGCCCTCCCCTAGCGTGCAGAGCTCCTCATCGAGCAGCGTGCGACCATGGCTGATGCAGATCGGTTCGTTGGAGGTGATGGTTGTCACATCTTTGGCGAGCAGCTGCACCACGCCGAAGAAGACGATGAAGAGGGCGGTGGCCCAGATGGGCGGAAGCAGCAGCCAGAGCGGGTAGCTGCTGGCGGCTCGCTCTGCTTTGAGGCTTAAGGGCAGGCGACGCTTACGGCTGCAGGGAAAGACCTTCTCAAATTTGCCGCTGAAGTCTCGCGAAGCGCCCGAGTTGATCTGCGACTGGAGCTCGTCGCTGGTGAAGGTCGACGGAGGAGGCGGTGGGGGGCGGAAACGATGATGGGCCATGGTGGTGGTGGTGGTGGTGGTGGTAGTGCTTGGCCCCGAGAGTTGAATGAGGTTTGGTTTTTGGTGGTTCGATGTTTTTTACTGTTGGCTGGTGAGTTTGGTGGTGCTGGTGCGCTCCGCAGAGCTCTGCTGATGACTAATGAAATGAGAGGAGCTGCTGCGGCAAAAGTGCCGTTCGGCTGCACGCTGATTCACTGAATGGACATGCGCCGCCTCGAGTTGGGCAATCGGAAATGATGAGATGCTGAAAGAGGAGAGGGGGAATAGGAGCAGCAACAGCAGCAGCAACAGTTCACACTGCTAGACAAACAAACAAACAATTAAACTAGGGGATAGCTCCTGGTGTTTTGTGATCCACTCGAATTTAGTATCATTAGAAAGATGCCATTTATCTCGTTATACTGGTAAAAACCGTTTTTCAATATCTTTAACGGTGTAATTTGTAGAGCAAAAAGAGTGAGTGATGACGGAGAAATAGAGGGAGAAAAATCATTTTTTTAGGGATAGGCTGATGATGATTGGTAATTAGAGTAAAAGAGATAATTATTAAAGAAAGATTCACTTGAAAACAAGAGCTGAACACTGACCGAAAAGAAAGATCACTGGCCATTAGACAACAGCTGCTGGAGGGTAGGGTTTTTCAGCTTCGGCCCATAGTCCAAAATGACTCGGTCGTGAGGAACACCGAGATGGAGCCGGGGAAGTGTGGCACGAAAGCATTTGAGAGCAGTCCAAAAGCTTGGCTCTGTGTCTGCACTGTACATATTTAGACGATATTTGCAGAGAGAGACACCACAACTAGCACAGCTGAAGTCTATAATGTGGATGGCTTGCAGTCGGGGTAGTGTCACCGGTAGGTTCAACCACTGTATCTGAGAGTGAGTGCGTACTTCCAACACGAGACGCAGTGCACGTACAGAGGTCAACTGAGCCAGTGGAAGAGGGGGCTGCTGATTCTCTACTTCACGCTTCAAATCCAGCAACAATTCCAAGTGGACCAGCTGTGGTAGTTCTAAAAGAGCAGTGAATAGTGGTCCTAGCTGAGGTGCTTCTTTGCAGCTGACTGAGAGTGAGGCAAGGAAGGGGAACTGTTGACAGAAGAGAGGCACATTGTCATTAGGCCAGTCGAGTAAATCGTCAAAGCGAACGATGCGATTGCGAAGGGGCTCACTGAGACCGAGCAGAATGTATAAGAATGGATCATAACAAAACAGGTGCACCTGCAGGTCGACATTGCCGGTAGCCTGACGTTCCAAGCAGCGCAGAAAAGATTCAAAGGCAAAAAGGTCATCGCACACATTGATGGCCATCACCTGAAGCTGAGCGAGTATGGTCAAATCGGGCAGCTCGGGAACGTCATAACATTCCATAGCCAGACACTGAAGGGCAGAAAGTGCATTGATGGCAATGATGAGACGGTGCTCGGTGGACAGATCGGTTTTATAGCCAATCACCATCAAGTTGGTCAGTTGATCGGACCACTGGGGAAGCTGCAGCATGGAAATCAGGTTTTCACAAGAAACACTTTTGTCGAACTTGAGATCAGTGACGGCAGAGAAGGCATTGACAATCTGTTCAACAGTTGGCTGGTCGAAAAGCTGGCCATCGTCCACTAGCAGACAGTTCCATTTACTGAGACGTGTGGTGGTATTAGGATAGTCGGGAAAGGGCTCACCACCTGCTGGCAACAGCTGCATGATGGGCTCCGATGAAAGGGAGAACTCGCTGATACGGGATTTAGTCCACTCGCCATCAAAGCTTTGTGCACTTGTGATGACCAGCATCTTCACTCGGCGATTGGCAACTCGCACCAGAACGGCACATCGAGGACTCATTTTGTTTGCCTTCAGTTGATCATTCGGAGTCAGCATCTTCAAGACGGCGATCAGACAAAGGTCTGGGAGTGGGCGTCGAGGCGGCATCGTCGGTTGAAGACCAGAGAAAGTGGGAGAGCAGAAAGCAGAAAGAGAAGTTGCGGCTGTTTCTGCAACTCAGAGCAAAGTGCAAAGCAGGAAAAGCCGAGGAGAGATTGTGGAAATGATGCAACTCACTGAGCTCCAGTGCTGCCCTCAATTTTTTTGTCTCACTGGCAAGTGCCCCTCCACAGACAATGTTCTGCCAGACGACCACTTTGAACTTTGAACTTTCTCACCCGTGGTGATTAATTTGTGATTTCGCTTTTATTTTATATTATAAAACTAAAAAGTAAAACATTTGTTTGCTGTGAAACACCACTGAAGAAGAGGAGAAGAATATAAATAGACACTGGCGAGGAAAAGAAAAGATGGCACTTTTTGGTTGGCAAGAAGAAAATTGGGTAAGTGGCGGTGATAAAATGGTATGAGGGGAAAAGAAGGATTGTGGCTGTGTGTTTTGATTTCGCTGAGAATAGTGTGTTTGTGTGGTTTAGAAAGAGAGAGAGAGAGATAAGTAATGAAGAACAAGAGTTAACTGTTGTGGTGGTGNGATGCAACTCACTGAGCTCCAGTGCTGCCCTCAATTTTTTTGTCTCACTGTCTGCCAGTGCCCCTCCGCAGACAATGTTCTGCCAGACTATCACCAACTTTGAACTTTCTCTCCCGTCGGGATTAATTTGTGATTTCGCTTTTATTTTATATTATAAAACTAAAAAGTAAAACATTTGTTTGCTGTGAAACACCACTGAAGAAGAGGAGAAGAATATAAATAGACACTGGCGAGGAAAAGAAAAGATGGCACTTTTTGGTTGGCAAGAAGAAAATTGGGTAAGTGGCGGTGATAAAATGGTATGAGGGGAAAAGAAGGATTGTGGCTGTGTGTTTTGATTTCGCTGAGAATAGTGTGTTTGTGTGGTTTAGAAAGAGAGAGAGAGAGATAAGTAATGAAGAACAAGAGTTAACTGTTGTGGTGGTGGTGGTGGTGGTGGTGGTGATGAAATGGGGTGAAGGGAAAAAGGTGTGGAGAGTGGGTGATAAGGTTATAGAGTGATTAAGAAGCATTTGCTGAAAAGCTTGGTACCAAACACGCAGCAGTCTACGCCTGACAGTCGCGGTAGTTCTTCGCCTTGTCCTCGATATGGTCCAGGTGGTTCTTCATCTGGCTGTTCAGATCGGCCACCACCTTCTGCAGATCATTGAGCTTCCGTTCGTTGTTCTCGATGGAGTACTCAAACTCTGCGGGAAAGTAAATAGAATTTAGTTAAAAGAGGTAAACAAAAACCCATTATTTCGACTTACCTTCAATCTTCTTCAGCTTACTGGACACGTTGGTGAAGAGCTTCGAGGCGTTGTCCTTCAGGTCCTGAGCGCGCTTCTTCAGCGACTCGCTCACCTGCGACTTCTGGTCGAGCTTGCCAAAGGCGGACTGGTACTTCTTCTCCAGCTCGTCGGCGCCCTAAGAAAACCGATCACAAATTAGTCTCAAAAAAGCTTCCAAAAAACCCAAACAAAGCCGACTAAACTTACCCGACTGGCCTGCTCCGCCAGCTCCTTGGCGCTGCGCGACTCATTCTCCGCATTGTCAATCTTGAACTTGTTGCTGGCGTACTTCTTCTTCAGGTTGTCCAGGCGGTCGTTCAGCCCTTGGATGCCCTCAGTGGCCGAACGGGCGTTGCCCTTTGCCGTCTCGGCGCCGTTGTAGATCTAATGAAAAACAAAAAATGTTTTAGAAATGGAAACGATAAATCATCATAGCCACTCACCTCGTTCAGGTCCTTGTCAATGGTGCCAATGTCGCCATTGGCCTCCTCAATCGACTGCTTCGCCTTCTCCTGCGCCTGCCGCGCCTCCTCCAGGGCCTTCCTAACGCTCTCCGCCTCGGCGAGAATGCCGTCCGATTTTTGCCTGCAAAAAACATTCCACCATATAGAACCCATGTAAACAAACGCCAAACAAAAAGCTCAACAACCACTCACTTGGCCAAATCAGCCCTAATCTTCAGATCGTTCGCCCGCAGCACCGCATCCTTCGTCTCCTCCAAGATGCGGTCAATGTCCTTCAGCCCGGCAATCGTCCGGTTGATCTCCAGCGCCAGCTCCTCAATCTGCTTCGGATCAAGACTGATCTCCATGCCCTTGCAGGCCTCCGCCAGCGTCCGAAGCTCCGCCGGCGTCGCCGCCGAGCCCGCCAGGAAGTAGTCAATCTTCTCCAGCAGGTCCTTCACCTCGAGGGCCGTCTCCGTGCTGGCGTTCTTCGCCGCCATGATCCGCTCAAAGGCCGCCTTCGCCTCCGCCAGCGCCTCCTCCGCCTTCACGCGGGCGTCGGTGATTCGCCGGAGCTCGTCCTTCGCCTCCCGGTCCCGCTCCGCAAGCTTTCCCTCCGCCTTGACGGCCATTCCCAGGGCGTTCTCCGCCTTCGTCCGGGCGCCCTCCGTACAGCTGACGCCTCCGCACCGCCCACAGCCGGCCCCTCCGCAAAGCGTGTCACACTTGTCCATCGTCGACTGCCCATCACAGACCAGCTCATTGATCCTCGGCAGGCCCAGCTCCATCTTGCTGATCTCCACCTGGACCGCCCCCAGGGCGCCCTCGTTCTCCAGGTACGTCGCATTGTGCTTCGAGCGGGCCTGGTCAATCAGCGACTCCGTGTTCCGGCGCTTCGTCTCCGACTCCTTGAGGATGTTTCCGCTGTCCAGAACCCGCTGCCAGGCGGCCTGCGAGCGCCGTTTCGAGTCCTTGGTGATGTTGTAGGCGCCCTCGACGTTGCCCTCCTGCAGCTTCGTCGCCTCCTCCTTCAGCTCTTCGGCTTCGATTTTCAGCCTTTTAGCGGCCGCCGTCAGCTCATCGAGCTTGATGTTCGTCTTGATGACGCCCGTCTTCGTGTCTTCAATGTGCTTCTCATGCGTCGCCAGAATGTCCTGCAGCTCCAGCAGGTTCTCCCGCGCCTCCGAGATCATGTGCTGCACCTGCTCCAGGTCGACCTCATTAATGTCCTGCCCCTGGAGAATCTTCTCCACCTCTTTGAGGTTCTCCTCAATCTGCGTAAACTGGCGCGTATAGGCGCCCGTCGTGCCCGTCATCTTGATGATCCGGGCCTTGTCCAACAGGCCCAGCGTCTCGTTCTTCAGCTTTCCAATGATGAGGTCCCAATTTTCAAAGCACTCGCCGCAGGCCTCACAGTGGGGCGCCGTTCCGGTAAAGCCACGAGCGCAACGGTCGCAGCGGGGCCCACTGATTCCGGGCACGCAAACACAGTAGCCGGTGGCCTTGTCGCACTGGGTGGAAAGAGAGCCGGAGAGGTTGCAGTCGCATTCTAAAGAAAAAAGGGGTTAAAATCATAAAACCTTAAAAACTTCTCCCCAACTTACGCTGACACTGCACCCTCGGATCGCCCCAGTGGTTCGGCAGACACTCATTACACCTCCTCCCCCCGTGCGTCGGCTTACAGTGACACTGCCCATCCAGCTCGTTGCACTTCAGCGAGTAGCTGCCCTGGGCGTCGCAGTCACACGCCTCGCAGCCCTTCTTGCTCGCCAGATTCCAGTGGTCCTCCTCGCAGCTGTCGCACCCTAGGCCCCTCACATTGGGCAGACAGGCGCACTGCCCGGTGGTCTGGTTGCAGAAGGCACTCCGCTCATCCGTGCCCAGCTGATTGCAGACGCAGGCGGCGCAGCTGTGCTCGAGTGCATTCCCGTAGAAGCCCGGCTCGCAAATCTCGCAGCCGTCGCCGGCGGTGTGGTAGAGGCACTTCAGACAGCGGCCGTCCGCGGGGTCGCAGCTGCCCGGCACCGCCACGTCAATGTTGGCATTGCAGCGGCACTCCTCGCAGGTTCCGTTCACCGTATTCGGCTTGCCGTAGTAGTTCTCCGAACAGCGATCGCACTTCTCCCCACTGTAGCCCGGCGCACAGTGGCAGAGGACGTTCTGCGTGCCCGGATCGAGCTCGCAGGTCGCCGCGTGGCTGATCCAGCTGCCCGCCACGTCCGGACACGGGCACTGCCGACAGGGAACGGTCAGCCCGGTCCGCCGGCCCAGCGGATCGCCGTAGTACCCGGCGGCACATTCCTCGCAGCTGACGCCCGCCGTCGCCTCGCGACAGTCGACGCAGGCGCCGGTCTTCGAGTCACAGAGCTCGCTGAAGCCGTTGCAGCTGCACCGCTGGCAGTTGGGGTAGTTCCAGTAGCCGGGCTGGCACTCGTCGCAGGCACGGCCGAAGGTTCCCGTTCGGCAGCTACATTGCCCGGTGCTCTTGTCGCAGAAGTTGTCCAGCGAGCCGTAGCCGTGGCAGTCGCAGGCTAAGGAGGAGAAAGGATAATTTTTAATTGAAAATCATAAGAATTTTAAAGATCTTTTTTTGTTAGCTTACGCTTGCAGCCATCCGGGCCGAAGCCGTAGTAGCCAATGTGACAGCGGTTGCAGGTCCGCTCGGCGACGTGCACCTTACAGGCGCACTGCCCGCCCAGCGTGGCGCACTGCACGGCGCTGGTGGAGCCGGTGGTGTCGCAGTCGCAGGCTAAAAAATGGGAAAATGGAAAAGTAATGAGAATTTGGCTTTCAAAAATTGAGCTAAAAAAGCTTCTTACGCTTCGCCCCGTCAAAGACGTAAAAGCCGACGCTCATCAGCATCCGCCGGCAGTACTCATCCGGCTCAGGGGCCCGATTCAGCGAGTAGTAGGTGGTGTAGCAGCGAAAGCGCTCAAACTCAATCCGCCGGCGGTCGTTTTCCGGCGTGCCCGTGAAGAAGGGAATGTCATCGGGTCGGGGGATGACGGCGATCTAGTTCAGAAAAAAAGAGGTAAAAATTTTAGAAAAAAAACCCTAAAAAAAAATTAAAACTCACCGAATCAATCAACACCGAGGGCGCCTCACCGCCGTCCGTTATCGGCCGCTCAAAATCCTTCACCTCCAGCGTGAGAATGTATCGCAGGCCCTTCTCCAGACAGACGGAAGTGGCAGCCGCCTCCCGCGAGGAAGAGGACAGCTCCAGCCGCTGCGCCTCCTGATCGGGCCCAGTGTAGTTGGAACAGGCTCCACCTCCAAAGCCCTGCCGCCTAATGTTGAGCACCACATTCTCCCAGCGGCCGCTCACCTGCGGCTCATAGCGCACTACCAGGTCGTACAGCTTTGACTCGGGCACGCCGTCCAGCGTGAACTCAATCGCCGACAGCGGGTGGAGGCGCATAAAGCCGGTGCCGCTCCAGCTCAGCTGCCGGTCGCCGTACGGCTGCCGGGGGAGCGGCTGAGGACTTCCGCCCACCACCTTCGCCTCTTCCGCCTCCAAGGTCCGGTGGTCCAGGCCGGGAACAAAGTAGCCCTCCTCGGGTCGGTCACACCGCCTTCCGGTCACATGCGGTCGACAGCTGCACTGCCCGGTCTGCTGGTCGCAGTCATTTGAGTAGGCGCCGCCCGGGTCGCAGTCGCAGTACTTGCAGCCCTCCTCGTCGGCGCTCAGGCCGTAGTAGTGCGGCTATGAAAAGGAGGGGAGGAAAAAATCTCATTAAAAACCCCTCAAAAAATCCCCTCCCCTAAACCTTACCGCACAGCTATTACAGTCCCTCCCGACGACATTTCGCTTGCAAATACACTCCCCGGTATTGACATTGCAGCCCAGGTTGTCCACCGTGCCCAGCAGGCTGCAGCTGCACTCGATGCAGCCCTTCGGACTGAGCTCGTTGAGGTTCCAGAAGCCGCGCTTGCAGTGGTCGCACCGCCGACCCTCCACATTTTCCTTGCAGTGGCACTTGCCCGCCTCCATGTTCGCCTCCAGGTCTGTGACCTCGTCGCAGAGGCCCTGCTCTTCAGAGCCGCGCGGGTCGCAGTCACACTCTAAAAATCAAGAATTAGAATCCGTGAAAAAGACTTAAAAATTCCAAACTTACCCTGACAAACGTAGGGGTCCTCCAGCGACCGGGCACTGTCGCGGAAGAAGAAGGGCTTACAGCGGTCGCAGTTCTTGCCCATCGTATTGTGCTGGCAGTCCTCGCAGACGCCGCCGGAGACGTTTCCCGAGGCAGCGTACACTGCCTTGTCAAAGTGACAGCGGCTGGCGTGGTTGTTGCAGTTGCATCCTATGAAAAAAGTCAAAATTAAAATCTTAAAAAAATCCAAAAAAATGCCCACTCACTCTGACAGGCATTCGTCTGCCGTCCAAAAGCGGGCTTCCACTCCAGGTCATTGTACAGCTCCTCACAGAGCTCACAATTCAGCCCCTTGGTGTGGTGGGTGCACTCGCACCGCCCGTAGACCATATCGGTAATGACCGCATCTCCATCTGCCTTACAGCGACTGGCGTGCCCGTAGCAGGAACAACTTCCTCGCACGACGATATCATAAATCGAGTAGTAGTACTTCTCCTTGATCTCATTCCTCGGGTCGAGCAGGTTGTCGCCCAGGTTGTGCAGCTTCTCAAAGCGAATCCGTAGATTGGTGATCTTCAGAATGTCCTGCACGTCCTTCTTGTAGGGGTCCTCAATGCGAATGGTCGGCGGGAGGACGCGAAAGATCACCTCGCCCTCCGTCGAGGGCTCCACGCCCGAGTAGGAGTTGTCGCAGACGACGTCGGTGATCTTCAGGCGGGCGCCGGTCGGGACGCCCGGGTAGCTGGAGGCGCAGTCGGCCGCAAAGTACTGATAGACCTGCCAGGTGCGGCCAAAGTCGTGCGACCGCTCGATGAGCATCGCCGCCGGGCGGAAGGTCTTGAAGGTAATGACCAGGTGGGTGAAGTGAAACTCCGCCTCCAGGTCGAACTGAATGGTCACGTTCTCGACGCCGTTCTCTGCCTGCCACCAGTACTGGCGGCGCTTCTCGCCGATGCTGCAAAAGAAAGGGAGAAAAATGCTTTTTAGAATCGGTGGAGTTTGAAAAGAAAAAAGAGAATAGACTTACGTGGAGACGACATTCTCAATGCCGTGGTACTTGTTGGTGCCCTTGTGGCGGGGCCGTGAGTCGCAGAGGAAGCACTTCTTCTTCTCCTTCAGGTGGCTGACCACACAGTAGCGGACCTTGTCAGTGCGACCGCAGGTGCTGCTCGCCTGCAGGCGGTCCTCGCGGCCGATCAGCAGGTTTCCGGTGGCCGGGTAACAGGCCTGGTACTCGTCGCAGCGGCCCGGAATGGCTGCAAAGGGATGGTGAAGAGAAATTAGTAAATTGAATGTCTGAAAGTTAAAAAGTTAAAAAAGATGGAAAACAAAAAAAAAAGAACACAAAAAGAACGACCCAACAGGACTTGATTAATGGAAATGGAAGTAATGGAGAAAATCCGAAGAAGAAGAAGGGGAAGAAGGAAACACCGGTGAAGCTTTCGTGTTAATCATCAGAAGAGAGTGATAAAGAATCGCAAAGTGTTTTAGAAGTTTTCAATTGTGCTCAAACCCGATCCCGCAAGCGGATGCGGCTCATTAAAGTGCGGCTTGAAGAAGTCCCGCCCGTCCCACTCCTCCTCGTCCCAGGTCTTCTCAGAGTCGGGAGCGGCGGTGGTCCCCTGCAGATCAGGGTCATAGGCGGGCCGCGTCCGGTCGTAGTGATGCGTCTCATTGTACCAGGAGAAGGGACCGGGAGCACTGCCAGGACGGCCATCGGAACGGCTGACGCCCCGGGAGATGGTCTGCTGTTGGTAGCTGTTGTCCCGATCTCGGTCCCGGTCAGGTGACCCCCACCTTGGTCTGGAGGTTGTGGTGGTGGTGGTACTCGTTCGGTTGTAACTGGACGACCACTCGTAGCGAGGTGTACGCCCTAAACGAAAAAAGATTAAAATTTTTAATAAAAGAACTCCCTTTTCAATTCCTTTTACCTTCCTCCCGCCACTCAAAGGGCTTCCGCGTGGGCACCTGTCGCTGCTGGTAGTCATTCGTCTGCCGGGAACTCCGGTGCTCGTGTGCTTTTTTAGATTTGATGATTATTTCAAATTAAAATGATTAGCAATAATTGACTCAATCTTCAGTAGTGGTAGTGGTTAGATGAAGAAGTCGTTACTCTGTTGTTGATGTTTTTAGAGCTTCAGTAAGATTTAGTTGTTTAGTAGTTTGAAGAAAAGGAAAAACGTGGTAGTTGATAGAAGTTGAGTGAGTGAGTGATTGCCAGAACACCTCCCCGTTCCTGCTGTTGTGTAGTTAATAGCAATAATTCTCCCGCCAACAGAATCCCGCCGATTTTATACACTTGTTAGATTCTTATCAACGCATTTCAATTTCAATTCCCACCGTTTTTCACTTACCATTTCGTTCGTACTCATCGCCGTATCGTCTCGGCTCACTGCCGTACCTGTGCTGCTGTCCGGTCACTGAAATAAACAATAAATAAAAGTAAGAAGTTGTCAAATTATCAGCAGATTCTGTCTAACAAATTCTACCAATTATAATTTGCTTTATTTACTTCAGCATTCTCTCTCTTTTTCTCTCTATTTTCCTGAAAAACTCCTCAACGGCTCTGTCAAAGAAAATTGCTCTCTTCCAAACCATCTGGCCTAAAAATAACTCAACGTTGCAGATGCTGCTAAGCAGACTGTCGAACTGAACTCTAGAGAGCACGGTTCAGTTCAAGTGGCCATTACCGCCGATTCTGTGGTCTGCGGTGAGAAATAGAATCAACGAGAAAAGCTGCTGAAACAGCAGCAGCAGCCGTTTTGCTCTACCACCACCAACCACGCCCGATGATCGACAGGCAAAGAGAGTCAAGCGAAATACCCCGTCTATTTATAGCCGCCAGCAAATCAAAGAAGCTGTTCCCTGATGTTCTTTCTAGTAGTGCAAAAATCACCGCCTGGATGCTTCCAAGATCATATAGCCATTTGGCGCCTAAAAATCGCCAGCTTTGAGGCAATTTCAAACATTAAATATTAGGAGAAAAGTTAGAAAAAATGGTATATGGTTGCAAGCAGTGCTCCTTTTGGCAATGGGAGAATCTGTGGCAATAAGGTGCCTGCAATGGACAGCTTAAGAGGAAGAGATATGCTAAGAAGATAGCAGTGCAGAGAAAGCCACAGCGAGATGAGCTAACTTGTGGTAGCCACAGCTGCTGCTGCTAACAGTGCAATGAATGCAAGTAAGAAATCTGCAAAGAAGTAGACACACAGAGCTAGCAACTGCCCTATATGGCAATTACTCCCGGATATGGAAATGGTCACGCTTAGCTGTGCTTTCAGAGCTGGCCACTCTGCCAGTCTGTGCAATCCTCAAAGTACAAAGTGCCGTTTCAACTGCTGTACATATTAGCTGTTAGCAACAGTGTATCAACAGTGAGCAGAAAGCAAGAACACAGCAAACCAGTTTCGTAAAGACTTCGAAAAAAAGCACAGAAAAAATTACGAAGCACAGAGCAGTTGGTTGTCTAAACAGAAATCAACACCAAGAAGTAGCAGCAACAAAAAGAACAGTTTGATCCCTTTTGCCCTTCTTCGGCAAAGAGGTGACATCTCCAGCCAGCCAGCCTATGTGATCGATGTCAGTCAGGACAACCAAAGTGGGCAGCTAACAAATCTATAGCTCTTTGCCGGTCTCCCTTTCTTTTTCTTTTTTTATGAAAGAGGAGCACAATATCACTCGTCACCAGCTCGAGATGAGATGAGCAGTCTAAGGAAGAGTCATCATTGAAGATCGGGTGGTGCTGGTGGTGATAAAGGCGATAGGCACCACCACACACCAAAAAGGAGAGGTGACATTCGACCAAGAAGTATCAACTCTCCTTCCTTCTCTCTTTAATGCCAGTGTCAATGTTCAATCTGCACGGCGCGGGTATCATGATATCAGCAGCAGTGTATATTTGCTCTCAGATTAGCCGCCGCCGCCGATGATGATGATGAGGGGAGACTCGATAGACTTGATAATGAGACTAAGAAAGCAGAAAGAAAAAGAAGAAGAGAGAGAGCCCAAACTTACATGTCACCGCGAGAGCACTGAACACTAGAAAGGCGAGAAGCAGTCCTGACGAGACCGACCGACCAAATGGTGGTGATGGTCTCGTCATTGTCCGTGCTGCCTCGCCCGTCATTTTAGAGGTGAGGGTGCGAGTTGAACTCGCCGATGAAATCATAAAGTGGTGATTGGAATTAGAGAGGTGGTGGTGAAGGTGGTGAANGCGAGAGCACTGAACACTAGAAAGGCGAGAAGCAGTCCTGACGAGACCGACCGACCAAATGGTGGTGATGGTCTCGTCATTGTCCGTGCTGCCTCGCCCGTCATTTTAGAGGTGAGGGTGCGAGTTGAACTCGCCGATGAAATCATAAAGTGGTGGTGATTGGAATTAGAGAGGTGGTGGTGAAGGTGGTGAAAGAGGACGAGGTCGGTTTCACTGGTTGCATTGATTGAGCGAGTGGAACCACCGTTTCACGGCGGTGATGAACACAAGCTAACTGGTGGTGAAGTTGGTGGTGATGACAAGGTAAGCTGATGATCTTGGTTAGAAAAAGTGAGGAAGAAGGGTGAGATCCAAAATGAGGTGATAGATGAGAAAAACAAAAAGCTAAAGCGTGGTGTATTGCACAACAGCAGGCAAAATAACAACAACAGGTGAGAGAAAAAACACCTGTCGCAAAAGAGGGACCCTGCTGCCTGATGAACACACACGCACACAGTGAAGAGGCGATTCTGCCACTCAACGGCGGTGACAGAATGTATGCAAAATAGGTGAAAGAGGTGAAAAATACAAATAAGAAAAAAGGGTATCCTAACTGACAAAAAAACTGACTGACTAAACTGAACAGAAGAAATGACACACAGCTGTTGGTGGTAAAAGAGAATGGCGGAGAGAATGGGAAGAATGAATGAAAAAGTGGTGCACACCGAGCGACACTGGCGATGCCGCCTAGACACTGCTCAAGACAAATCGGCAGAGACTGCTGCCACTCTAGCTACACACACGCTGGATCGCCTTCGTTCGATGATAATGCCGCCGCCACCGCCATAGCCGTCTTTCTCTTTCGTCCTCTTTCCCCCGTGTCTGTCTGCCTATGGGAGTGGGCCGCCACCGCCGACAGAAGAAGAAGGAGAAGAAATAGAAGCGACGATACGATAGCGGACAGGCCTGCTGTTGAAGAAGACACAACTCTGGCAGAAGCAGCAGTCCAAGAAGGGGATCGAGCAGCTTCGAAGAGCACAGTTGGCGACCACAGTCTCTTCGCCTTTGCCTCTGTTAGTGTGCTTGCAACACATGTGGGTGTCGAGGCAAAAGGGAGAGGGAATGAATGATGTGGATGGTAAAGACTACAGTAAAGACACTGTGCTTAGTCTTGTGCTGAGCTGTGTCTTCGGTGAATGTCAGCCAGAGAGGGCTGCTGCTGCTGCCTCTCCCCTCTCTTTTCTCGCCTCGAACGATTAGATTTTCATCCTCGGTGACAGAGAGGGCTGTGTGACACCATCAACGCCAGCTTTATATCGGTCAATTAGGAAAATGGCGGCAATGATCAGAGGGGGCTGATCGATATAAAGAGCGAACGAGAAGAAAGTACTGCACGGAAAGACGAGAGGGAAAGAGAGAGAGAGAGAGAGAGACTGAAAATAACCGATAGGAAACCGGCGATAATTAGGCAGTCAAGTCCGATTGCCAATCAAACCACACACACATATTGTCTCTCATTCATTCAACAATCGACAGTGTGTGACAACCGCTCTCTTTGCTGGTAATCCAACACCGCAATGAATGTCAGAGGGTGAACTGAACGTTGAAAAGTTGAAAGGAAGATTAGGGGACAAAGTTCACATGCTCTCTCTTTTTCCCTCCTTTCCCGTCCACTCTAATTGCTCACATCTGTGTTCGAAGAGGGGAGATGAGGCTCGAGTGAGTGAGTGGCCGCTAGAGTGCAAAAGCTGCTGCTGCTGCAATGGCTGACCCTGAAAACTGGAGAGCAAATGCCACCCATAGTGAGCGAACAGAGATAAAGACAGAGTTGACAGTGGTGGTGGTGGTGGTAGTGGTACGGCCTTGAAGAATGCCCAGAGTGAAATTCGAACCGCATCAAATCAACGATTCGTTAGATTTTGCGCGCGCTCTGGCCCTGAGAATATGACCGAGTGCGAGACTTTGGTCTCTTAGCAGCAAAAAGCTATGAATAAACAAAACAACATATAAGAAAGCAAAAAGAAGCTGAAAAGCAAAACTGCTTCGGTGTTAGCAGCAGTGCTAGCAGTGCTAGTCTGCGTGGGCGAACCTGCCCAGAAAGAGAGCCATCAGAACTTGTGGCCACCACCACCACCACCACCACCGAGTGGCACACATCACGGCCGTTCATTGCGAGTGCACTTTTCACTGCTGCTGCTTTCGAAGCGGCGCACTCTTCTTACTAAATCTCGCCCACAGACAATTCCTTATTTATCATCAAATGCGGGGAGAGTACTGCTGCTTTAGAAGCAGACGTAGAGACGAACAAGAGAAGAGAAGACAAGTGGACACTGAAGAACGCAGATAGATGATGGGACAGCGGACGAGAGAGAGAGACAGAGATAGACTTACCCAGGCGTGTGCACTTCCATCTAGTTGGTCCACTTGAAAACTTAAAATTGATAATTGAAATAGGAAAATAGAACATTCTTTATTGCATCCTAGCCTCTTGAGCTTGGGCTTGAGCTTGAACAGAGTGAACGTATTTGCACTTGGGGTGATAGTAGGATCACTTGGAGTTGGATCACTGCAGATTATTGCCACCTTTTTACAGGGTTCCGCATCGTATTCATCATCATTATCATCACCTTTGTCATCCATTTCCGGTAAAAGACTCCACTCTGGAATGAAAAAAAGTTAGAAAAGGTAACAACAATAGATGGGAGAGCACTTACTCCGATATAATAATCTCGTGCTCTCGAAAGGCCTCCTTCAACGCTCTCGAAGACTCTTGCAGACTTTGAATTCTATAGTAAATAATCGTTACAAAAATGCTCAAAATCCCAAACTACGCATACTCTTTTATGAGGGACGCCAGCGACAGTGAGCCATTGCTGAGGACGGGCGAGGAGAAGTTGCTAATCGGCTGTTGGTCTATCAAAGAATGCTGAAGCTGCTGCTGTTGCTGCTGCTGTTGTTGGCTGGCATTGCCGTCATTTGGCTGTGT